CAATGCAGATTTTGCCCCCAATTTACATCCACCGCCACCCCCCAAGCACATTACTTTAGTAGAGAGTAGCCATAATTTACATTTCATTTCTGCAAAATTTTTCATTCAACTTGCTTGGAAATGAGGTTCAACAGGTGTGTTCTGATCATCTCTGTGCATCCTCATTCAGCCCACCCTGGAGTCCTTGGTTAACCCACAGAGGGTTTGGGAAAAGCAATCAGAGAAAATATCAATATTGATTATACTGAGTTGCAGTGAGATGTCTGGCAATAACAGGCCTAGAGATCAGAAAACAGATCTGATCAGCTGGCCTTCCAATCAGAAGATCCTAGGATACTCTTGGCAACTAGGCATATTTCTCGATTTGCTTATATTTACTTTATGTACATTGGTATTTTGCTATGGGTTAGGGGTCACCTGGAACTTGAATTACACCTCCACTAGCATACCTAGTACACACACACACACACACACACACACACACACACACACACACACGAGTGGATATAATTAAAATAAAAACACTGTTTCAAAGTACTTTAAAATGTCACTCATTTCTGTGAAAACCATATACTAAACTAAGGGAAAGTAGCAAACAATATTTAAAAAATAGAAACAGGTGGGAAATTGAGTATACAATCCAAAGTCAAGACATACTGAAGGACTAAAATTACTGTCATTAGAGCTAAGTTAAGTCTTTTACGGTCAGCTGGGTTCTCTCAGACTTTAAAAATGTGCTGTCCCACTCTAGTTCTACTCTGCTGTCCCAAGTTGGCACATGCAGTGGCACTTGCAGAAGTACAGCGAGTAGGCACCAGATAAAAGAACCACAGAAGCTCATGGAGCAGTGAACTGCTTTCGTCAGTTCAGGCGGAGCGGACCTTGCAGACTTGGCTGCTGAATATGCCTAAATGTAAGATCCTTGTATCAGTTCACCTTATGCATGCATTCACTTGAAACGTGGGAGTCCAGTGCTACCAGTGAATAAACAAACATCTCGTTTGAAATGTTAACAACAGAGGCAATGAATATTAACCTACGTTCTTATTTCAATCATTTCATTCCTGGAATCCCACTTGTAGATATTATTTATAGAGCAACCCCGAAGACACCCACTTCCTAACCAGGAATAAATGTTAAAGAAAATGCAAAATAAAACAATTTGCCCAGTATGGTGGTGCACAACTGCTATCTCAGCATTCTGGACACAGGTGGTAGTGCATCCAAAGTCTGAAGTGACAACAACGATGAGAGAGTTTTCTAGATCGCATGAAAAGCATCGCGGAAGCCAAAACTTAAACGATGCTGAAAAGAGATGCTCACTGAGAAGAGCCTGGGCGTTTCATGTCACGTGGCTCAGTTTCCTGATATTTGTTCATTTTAAGAAGGGGACATGAACTTGGGAGGTGTTTGTGTCTGTAGGGGAGGGGGGATCTGGGGAAGAAAATATATGTCATTAGCAATGTGGGGACTAAAAAAATTAAAGAAGAAATAGTAACCCATGCCCCAGACATTTAACAAAGATATTAAGGGTAGTATCAATTTCATGTCATTAAGTTAAATGAAAATAAACAGTCCCTAAAGGCACTATAACAAAACTGAGCCAAAAGAAACAGAAAACTCTGTCTTACAAAAAGAAAAAATTATCTCAAATAAAATCCTAGGTTCATATTGCTCCACCAGAGACTTCCTTGAAGTGTTTTTAAAAGAAAACATAGACCTGTGTGAGTAAGAGAAGGAATAGATACAAGTACATCTAAAGAATGAAGGAGACAAAATGTAATCATTTTCAAAAGTGTAACAAATATGCAACATAATTTTTATTTATGAGCATCATTAAGAATATTTGTGTGCATATTTGCATGTGACCAGGTACATGGACCTGTGTATATAGGTACAGAGGTATACATGTATGTTCATGTATAAAGAAGCCAGGAGGCAACATTTGTTACTGCTTTTTCTTCAATCACTCCTTACTTTAATTTTCGAGAAAGACAAATTTGATATGGGACTGCCTGCTAGTTCCAGGGATCCTCAAGCGTTAGGATTCTAGGCACACGCTATTACCCCTGGCTTCTCTGAGTCCATACCAGGGATCAAACTCAGGCCTTCAAGCCTGCCTTCTAAGCCCTTTGTCAGCTGAGACATCCATCAGAGTACATTTATAACATTAAAAATATATCTCTCTTAGGAAATGAGTAGTGGAACTAACTTGATCTATCTGCAAATAACACTATCCCCAGTAAAGTAGAGAATTTTCTTTACTGAGATCTGGAAATATCACATATTTACATTAACACCACATTACACTAGACCCTGGGCAAGCACAATAATAATGCAAGGGAGAAACAAAGTATTAAAAAGATGAAATGTCACTGTCATAATTTATAGGCACATGATTTTATGCACTGGGCTCTGAAAGAATAGAAAGTTATAGAATTAGCAAATGAACTTACAAAGGTCAATGGACATAAAATCAATATGTCATGCATGTAAACTAAGAAAAACTAAGAAAGTCTCTAAGTTCACAAAGATCATTTTATTTTTCTAAGCACAAACACTTTACTTGAAGGCCACAGACCACGTTAATTGTTTGGTTGCAGCTCACACAGTAATCCCTGCTCATACTTGGACATTAAGACATTCAAAGACGTTGCTGGCTGCATAGTCCCCAAAGTCAGGGAGGAGAACAAGTAAGTCAGGTTTCTGACTTGGGCATCTGAGTGACCAAAGTAGGGGATCTGACACAAGTATGAGATCAAAGATGGCAGCTGGATTAATCTACATCGAACCCAAAATCAGGAAGGAAAAATGCTGACTATGGCGGGTCGCACGAGAAGGAAGAATGATTAGCGCTCCTGGAATCCAGATGCAGAGAGGGAGGAGTGATGAGCAAAGGGGTCAGGACCAGGCTACAGAAACCCACAGAGACGGCAGACCTGAACAAGGAGGAGCTCATGGACCCCAGTCTGCTAGCTGGGAATCCAGCATGGAACCGACTCAGGCCCCCTGAACGTGGGTCTCAGTTAGAAGGCCTGGGCAGTCTAAGGGACCTCTGACAGTGGAACCAGGATGTATCCCTGGTGCACAAAAGGACTTTGGGAGCACATTCCCCATGGAGGGATACTCCCTTAACCTAGAGGCAGGAGGGAGGGCCTAGTCCCTACTCCAAATGACTTGACAGATTTTGATGATCCCTCCTGGAAGGAATCACCCTCCCTGTGGAGTGGGGGGGGGGTGGGGGGGAGGAGGAGTCGGGGGACTTAGGAGGGAGGGAGGGGGAACTGGGATTGATAAGTAAAATAAGAATATACATCCTGGTCTCATGTTTACTGAAAGTCACCTCTGTATTCCAAAAGTGTGTTCCAAATGAGGCCATGCCCAGAATTATTAACATGGACAGTACTGAGCACAAGAGATGTTTACCATTTGGTATTAATTTGAATCTTTTCATGCAGTATTGGCAGTATACCAGTTTCATTTTCTACACACTCTGCAATTATTTATAAAAACTACAGTACCCCACATAGGATGGTATGACCATATGCCAGTATTATTTTGTTTCCCATTAGTGTTTAAATCCTTGTAGCGTTCACTCGGCAACCCTCTTTTCTTCTTCTTATACCGTCCCCCCCCCTCCCCACGCACAACTCTCAACTCTTTCTTCACCATCTCCTTGACACCCAAATAAAACAGTGTACCTGTTTTCATTTTAGCTTGCATTTGTATATATCTAAGTTTTCATCTGGTGCTCGTAACCATTCCAGACATCCCAGGACCATACCCTTCTAAGACACATTTCCTGATTAACATCTGTGGTTTTTTTGTTTGTTTGTTTGTTTGTTTGTTTGTTGGAGACCATATCACTAACTTTGCTTTTGCCAGATTATAGCCATTCGTTTCCTAAATCCAGACAGCCTGAATATCATTTCCCAACTGCATACTGTTCTAATATCAATGGGTATAATTTTGGATTTAAAATTAAAGTCCCATGGATTTCTCGTCTTCACAAAAATATGTTTATGATCCTGAACTTACATTAGTATATTGGCCCAAGATCTTCCAAAAGGAGTCTAAACAGCTATTTAGGAGGAAAATGGATCTTTTGATCTTTTTCCCAAAAATTCACTACGTGGCCAGTGTTGTGGAATGTTCCCTGACTTGGACATTCCCTCATAGAGGGCAAGGGTTAGAGGACTAGACCCTCACCTCAATGCCCAGAAACTACCTCTCCCCTGCATCATCAAGATTTGCATAATCCTGTCCCAGTTGCTGTGGTCTCTGAAAGTGCTGGAGAATATAAAGGTCAAAGTTTAACTGAGGGGACACTCCATGCCTCCCCTTTCTGAGGTCATGACCCATGCTGGGGTGAGCTTTCCAGTGATCCAGCTTCTAGGGCTTACTAAGCTCCCATAGGCATCTCCTTACCCATGTTCTTGTAAGTAATGCCAAATATCTCACAGATACACCAAGCCAAGCTCAATTGGAATAATTTTGTCGTTATGTCCTTAGCACCCTATCTGGAATATTTTGTTCATGTCTCTCCAGTAAAACTACATGGTAGACAGGCAATTCTAAGCTTTGCTGTAGGCAAAGGAATGGGAAGTGAGCAGGGTGGAAAGGAAACAGGTTCTAAATTATCCATCTGGAAATTTTAATTTCACTCCTCCTCATCAAACCTGCCATTCAGGGCTAAAAGTCCTCGCTACCACAGTTCCAGCTTCCGCTTACTGCTCAGGAAAATTAGCAGACACATATTAGAGTGTGAAGAATCATGGCACACAACAAGGAAGGATGGGTAATAATTTGTTTCCTCTGAGGGGAGCAGGATACTCAGAAAGTCAAAGGAAGAGAAAAAAAAAAGCTTCTAATATTTGACTTTTTCAAGAAAACCACAAAACTACAACATATTAAAACCTCAAGAGCCTTGTGTAGAGACACACTATATGCAAGTCTACACCTTGCATCATGAGACCTGAGTCCCCGGGTGTGTGACTTACCTCCACTAGCTTGTTGGCATGTTCGCGGAAAACCTGGGCATATTCCTTCACTTCCTTTTCGTTCCCACTCTTGGCAGCCTCAATGAGAACCAGCAAAGGGACATTGGTTTCCAGGAAAGAATCTGATATGTGATCCATCACGGCTTTCCGAAGCTAAAGTTAGAAGCAAAAGCAGAAGGACATTAAGGAACACAATTGGTAATCTTTTCTTAAACAACTGCCAAGCTTTCATTACAATGTAAACAATGGTTGTAGTTTTAATAGACATCTTGAAACAACTTAGAATCTGCTGAGAAAATTTTCTCAATGGGAGGTTGCCTCGAACAGGGTGGCATGTGGGGATATATGAGGGGAACTTTCTTGATTGTGTTCACTAATATGGGAGGACCCACACTACCAAAGGCAGCACTATTCCCTAGGCAGGAAATTCTAGAGTATATAAATGTGGAGGGAGATGCTGAGCACTAAGAAACATGCACACATTCATTCTCTTTCTGCTGCTGACTGTCGATCAGACTGTCTGCTTTAAGTTCCTCTTGCCTTGACATCCCCTACAATGATTGGCTGTAGCCTGGAATTATAAGTCAAATAAACTCTCTTCCCTCCGTTGTTTCTTGTCCAGATAATGATCACAGCAACAGAATTGAAACTAGGTCAATATTCGTCCACCTCTCTTTTGAATTTTTTCTGATCACATCAAAGAAAAAGATGTAGACGGATGTATATCTGCCTAGGGGCTATATGTAATATATACCTCTTGAAAATTACATAAACAGACTGTAGCTCAAAATACTGACCAAAGGTTAGTTCTCATCCTTCACTGAATTATATGTTTGACTCTATGAACTCTGAGTCCAAGAGCTCAGGCTCTTCAGCAGCAGAAACTTCTGGGTACTAACCAACCATTGGGGAGAACCCCTGATAGAGTGCTGAGCCTTGATACCACCCCTAAAACCTTGTCACTGTGTAGCCTCCTGCCTTTTCATATCACTGTCTTGCTTTGCAGAGCAAAAACAGGAAACATCTGACAGTCATAAAAATATTCCAGCCCAGGTGTTATGGTGATGCAGTTGCTATGTTCCAGGAAGTAACAAAATACTTAGAATTATGTTTCAAGGTAAGAATAAACAAACCTGAATCTTCTAACAATGCATAATTACACGCCATTCCCACACTATCTAAAATAAGTGGGGCAGCTGCATGGAAACAAAATAAAACTATCCCTGAGCAATCACCTTGCTTCTACTTTGTTCCTAATTATCTGAATGTATATAGGCTACAGGTAAAAACAAACACAAGCAAAGATGGTAAATAATCTGTACATTTCTCAATTCAATTCATTAACATCCATCCCAGAGGCTGGGGGTGGGGGGTATGGTCTTTTTCTGGAGCAATAATGACCATAAAGGATGCACATGTATATGCATAAATTGGTTTGGCTTTCCTCTGAATTGCCTTGACATTTCTCCTTGTAAAGTACAAGAAAAACTGTGAGAAGTTAAATTCACTAAGATACACATTTGGCGAAAATCATACGGAATTACTTCTACAGATTAATATTGGTTGTTTGTGATGTCATCTTTAGGGGTTTATCTCATACGAAAACACTCAAGTAATTTCTTTCCACATTCCATTGCCGAAGCCATTTAACAATATTATGAAACATGGAGCATTGCTAAGTTCTTCCTATGATAGGTCTAGGACAAGTGAAATAACCCTTCTGTCCTGACTGGGCAAGAAACAGCATTAGCAAAGGCAGACCTGAAGGGGACCTTACTGGGGACACTCAAACTAACCTGTCACAGCTGCTTCAGGGCCAGTGATTCGTGTAGAGAAAAGTGAATAGTGGTAAAAGAAAGAATGACTTGACAGGGACAAGAGAGACAAATGGAAATCTACATAAAGGGTGAGTTGGAGGAAAATAAGGAAGGCTATCCTACCAACCAAGCCACCACATTTTTGATACCTACAAAAAGTAACTGAAGAAGGCACGCTGTGAAGCTTGAAAACCCATCTGTATCAACTCTTCCTAAATTCTCGGAAGAATTTGCTTACAGAAGTGAGCTAAGTTAAATGTTACAGGAAGCTGTAAAGAGTAGTTTGTCCCCATACACTTTTAAGCTATGACAGAAAGATGTCTATACAACTGGTAAAAATGGTAACCAAAAAAAAAAAAAAAAAAAAAAGGTAACATACCATTTCAAATTAAATAAAGAACTTCACAGAAAAAAATTCAAGATGTAAAATAACAATATAAACTACTGTAAGAACAACTATGAACTAGGCATCATGCTCACACCTTTCTTCCCAGTACTTATGAGGTTGAGGCAAGACAATAACCATGAACTTGCATCTACCCTACACTAGATTTGGGGCCTAGGCCAGCCTGCCTAGTGTAAGAACATCTCAAAAAAACAAAATTGGATAAATGGCTCTGTCATTTGAGAGCACTGTCTGCTCTTGCAGAGGATGCAAGGTCAGTGCCGAGCATCCTTCTTGGGCCACCTGTAACTACAGCCCCTGGACATCCATATAGACTTGAAATGTATGCAAAGACCTGAAGGAGACCAGGAGAAATTTCATGCTAATCTGTCAAAGCTTCTGTCAGCGCAGACCTTCACATCATAAAAGTGGGGATTTAATAGAATGAATTTGACAGGGACAAAAGAAGGCAACAGAAAGAGAAAGTCCACATAAGGGGTTAACCTTCATTGGTACCCACACACACCAGTATGCATGCACACACATGCACGCAAATAACATAAATATTCAAAAAGAAGGTAACTAAGAATTATGTTTTAAAATTCAAAATAAGAAGAATTACAAATAGTCGATTTATAAAACACTGAATCAAAATTAAGTACCACAGCAGGTGCCTTAAAAGAAACAGAGAAGGGAAAAATGCAAAGGAAAATATTAGCAAGAACTTAAAAGGGTTGTGAAAAAAAGATGACAAGTCAAAACGAGATAAGAAATTCAATGCATGGCTTCCAGGCATCCCTGAAGAAAGAATGCCAAAGCCGTTGTAACTACTTATACCAAGACTTATGAAATAGGGAATTCCAACAGACACAGAAGAGGTGTGCATGGAGGAAGAACCCCACCTTCTGCCACCCCACACCCTATAAAAAGACCACCACCAACAGCAAAGTGTAGCCTGGTATAGCAAGCGGTGTGTACCTATAATCTCAGCCACTCTCTGATGGAGAAAGAAAAATAGGAAAGGGGAAACAAGTAGGATAAGACAGAAAATGAAAAATCAGGGATTCAAGCATATGTAGAAGATGGAAAAAGTGTAAAAATGCATAAATACATATGAAATGCTTATAAGGTGAGGGGCTTTTATAAGGGACTAGTCTAGAATCTGTGAACCAAAGCAGGAATGACTATTGTGATTCCTTCCTGGGCTGCATCCCACAGGATTAGTCACTTCCAGCACACTTTCATGCTGAGCCCAATCCCACTTCCTAATCTTCCTCAGCACAGTGCTCTAGGCAGCTAGTACTCATCAACCATACTTTTTCTACAGTATAAAAGCCTGCTATCCTTTATAGACATCCTGCGAATCAGAGCTTTCTTTGGGTATAATTAGCCATGTGTCTAAGATATCCACCATCATCTTGAATTTCAGAAATAAAAGTGAACACTATTTCTAGTGGGTGGGCTGATGATATTTAATAAGGATCTGGCAACTTAACAACTACCCCATCATGTGTAGAGCAATCGTATTAAGAATTGAAGTATTATATTTTTAATATTACAATGAAAGGCATAGCCAACAAGGTCAAAGTTGGGTGTAGAGTATGAGTCAAACAGGCTCAAAAATCTGAAGGCTTAATATTTTTCCTTGAATGTAGCTGCTCCAGGCTTTTCATGATTACTGACATATTTTACCACAGTTCCTTATGCTTTGTGCTATAATTATTATTAAAAATGAAAGATCAAAGCAACGAAGTGATTGGGCCAGCAGCCATCCAGCCTAGAGGGCTTGACAAAAATTGAGCCTCATTAAGCCAAGCAAATTTCAGCCAGTGTGAAGGTCAGTCCTGGTAATTAGTCAACACAATAATCCACCCAAAGCCCCTTTAATATCTCAAGGTGCCTCAAGTGCACAGGATCCCATGGCAATAAAGGCACTGGTCCAGCCTGATATGGCACAGGTGACCAGAGCAATGCATGAACCCAAAGGAAAAGCATTAAGAAAATAATTGACATTTTAATTTTACTTCTATTCTTTTTAAGAGAACTAAAATATCCTTTGGCCATTAGTTTAATGATATGGCAAAGCAAAATCATTTTGATTGAAATATATGTGCATCTTAACGGGACCAGGTACTCCCCCTGTCCTGTTTTTCTCCTCCCACTACAACCATTCCCCCATGAAATTGAGACTGCGGTAGCTCATTTAAAGTATAGCTGTCATTAAATATGGCACCAATGTGCAAACGCCTTGATGGAGTTTCACCAGATCCAGTCTTGCCCTCCAGGAATGTCAAGCAAGTCAGAGTAAAAGTGAGGAAGCCTGTCTCTCTGTTAGAATAAACAGTGCTGAGAGAAACTCTAGTAAATGTAGCCACTTACTAAATTGTCATGACCCCATTATGGCTTTTCTATGTAACTCTAAAACATAGTGGCTGACATCTCAGATACTTATTTGGCCATATGGCCTTAATCCAGCAAGAATGTACATGATGCTGCCATGTTGAGGCAGGTCCTGCTCTCAGCCTTTCCCTTGAGAAGGACACAATCAGGCTATCCTCCGTGGATGATTTGTCAAATTGACTGGATATGGAATTAACTAAGAGACAAGCTGCAGTGCATACCTGTAAGTGATTATCTTAATTGCATTAATTGATGTAGAAAGGCCCATTTTACTATCACAGGGACCATTGCCTGGGTGGGATGTAGTGAACTACATAAAGCTGAGGCACTTGATTATCATCCAAAGCAGAGGGATGGCAAACTCGTTGAACAGAACCGATTGAGGTATCTCAGATCAAGTCAGAGCCACCAAGAATCAAGCATGACCACCCTCCCCCAGATACTATTCCAATGCAGGGCAGTAACATTAAGTGATTGACTGTGCATGTATTTTATGAAAATATGTTTTAGTGGTCATTGAGCGACCTCTGAGGGGAATCGGAAGAGAGATC